TTCAGTAATCAACATCTAATTTGGTGATGCGCCGAGCATGTGAAAACGTGAGTTGTTGAGACCGGGTTCAGGTGGTGAAGGGGTGAGCCTGTGAGGGGGTGAGCCTGTGAAGGGGTGAGAGGGTGAGGCGGTGGTGAGGGGGTGAGCCTGTGAAGGGGTGAGCCTGTGAGCCTGCTCACTGCTAGGATGCCCGCGTCCCACAGGGCCGCCAGCCCCGGGGCGTAGTGCCCGAGGGCTGAGCCCGCCTCAGGGGGAGCGCCCGGCTGGCACACCAGGCCCTCGGGGGCCGGGCCGGGACCAGTCCTGTGGCCGGAGCGGGCAGTGCGGGACGCGGCCGGCGCCCAGGGCCCTGCACGGAGCTGCCGCACACCCAGCCCCTCACCCAGGGCCAGCTGCCTCGCTCCTCATGGCCCACGTTTGGTTCTGGACTCGGTTCTGGGCTTCCAGGAGGGTGGTGACCTGAGGTCGAGGGTCACGCCGGGCTCACATCGGTTTCCCTTCCGGGTCAGCCGGAAGCGCAACCGCCGCCGCGTGGGCCTGCCGGTGGGTTCTCCGAGAAATGGCGGCGGACGCGGGACCCAGGTGGGCGCGGCGGCACGGGGGTACCTGCCGGGGAGGGGGCGCGTGTGGGGGCTGAGAGCTGGCGCCTCGTGTCCGCGGTCGCCCGGGGACCTCTGGCGTGGGCGGGAAGGGGCGCGCTCGGGCCGCGGCGCGGAGGGCCGGTGCGCCTGCGTGGCCTGAGGTGCAAGCCGTGGCCGTGACCCGTGCGGCCACGCCGGACGCGTGCTGTCGCCGCGGAACACCCACCCGCCCGCTGCCAGGCGCCCGTGGGTCGAGACGTGCCCGCGCTTGTCTTGCCTCTCTGAGAGTGAATGACGGGTTCAGTGGGTCAGTAGGGCCGGCGAGGCCGCCTCCCCAGGCGCGACGACCCCCCGATCGGGCGAGGCCGCCTCCCCTGTCCCCAGACATCCCCATGATGATGCCAGCATAGTAGGCGTGGAGGGGCTCGATTCTCTGCGGCCCCGTGGGGAACAGCTGTTGCTGCCCTCGGGGAAGACTTGGATAAACCGGATCCATGGCGTGGGGAATTCTTGCAAAGGGTGGATCAGTGTATGTGTGGGACTCTGGAATGGAAGATGGTAGCTACAGAGTAGCATTTGTAGTGTGGTAGAGTGTATCGTGTATAAATAGAAGTCTACGCGGCGGGCATGGGCACTGGTATGTGTGTGCGCGCAGGTGTGTGTGCACGTGCACAGGGCTGGTGGCAGGAGTGGCTCTGTGGTCAGCATCCCGGGGCCCCCTCCGGGTTCCCCTCTGTCTCCTTCTCTCTCGCGGTTCCCGCTGTCGTGCACTGAGTAATAGTAAAATAATCCCTCATTTCGGCAGACTGGGATCCGCTATGGGAACCCGTGTTGACGTCCGTGGTGTCCTCCACCAAGATGTGCTGGGACGCTTGTTCCTGCTACCTGTGATTTGAAACAGGGTCTGTGCAGGTGTGGTCGGTTCTTGCAAGCTCATACTGGAGCAGAGGGAGTCTTCAATGAGGTGTGGCTGGTGTCCCTGTGAGGAAAGGAAGGGAGACAGAGGCTGGCACTCGGAGGGAGAAAGCTCCGGGACCACGGAGACAGGGGACCCCAAGATTGCTGGGCGCCCACAGAGCAGGTAGACTCTCTACGGAGTCTCCTAGGGACCAACCCTGCTGCCAAACGCCTCAGACAGCAGGGACCTTCTGTCGCCACCCAGACAGAAGTCGGAGACCTCAGCCAGAGCGAAGTGCTGTCCCATTCCCACGGGGCTCAGCGGCTTTGGTTGACAGCAAAGTTAGGGGTCAAGTGTTCCGGAGGAAGCTGTGGTCAGAAGCTGACCCCTGTCCCACCGTCCAGTGGGTCCTCCACCTCCGGGCCATGGGGACAGCCGGGGCAGCTGCCCACTGTCGTGGTGCTGTGGGCTCTCGTGGAGTCCGTGGTCGGATGTGAAGCCTCGAGCCTGCTTTGGCGCTGGAGGCAGCCGGCGCTCGTTTCCCGCTGTGCGTTTCTGTTCTCTCTGCTGTTGGAGGCTGAACCTCCCCCTGGCTTCAGTGTGAGGGGCTGTTGTTTGCTAACTCTCTCCTGGTGTGTAGGGGTGGTGGCGCCAGAGAGCAGCGAGAGGGTGAGGCCTCAGGACTCCCAGGTGGCCTTGCGTCTGCGCCTCAGGGAGTGGAAGGTGGCACCCTCAGGCCCTGGAGGGACACGCACTCAGTGAGGATGGCGGGTGCGTTTTTGTTTGCTCTCTGGGGTGAACTCCTTTTGAGAATTCCCAAAAGGTGGGGCAGGCGCTGTGGGGCAGTAGGTTGGCCGTCGTCGCCTGGGCCCTCACGTCCTGCACTGGAGTTTCTGGTCCAGTCCCTGCCAGTCCACGTCTGATCGGGCTTCTGCTCACACACACCCTGGGAGGCAGCAGGTGGTGGCCCACGTACTTGGGTCACTGCCAGTCCTGCCCCGTGCGTTGGCCTGACCTAGCGCCAGTCGTTGGAGGCATTTGGGAAGTGAACCAGGGGATGGAAGATTTCTGTCTGTCTCCTGATGTTTGTTTGCCCTCACATACATGCATACATCTTTCAAAGGAAAGAAACCATGCAGCGTGTGGTGTTCCTAGGACAGTTTTTACGTTTGTGTGTTTCCATGTTTGAACTCCAGGCTGTGTCTGAGCATGGTGGACTCCAGGGGAAGCCACATTTCTGGCATTCAGAGCGTGCAGCCTGCTGCCGTCCGTGGCTGTTTCTGAAGGCTGTGGACCTCACAGACTGCAGCTTCGCTTCCAGATCAGAGCCGCCTGCGGAGAACACAGCCTCTGCACGGGCCGTCAGGACAGGCTCGCGTCTCTGCCCCCGCGTGTGCGCACTTCACGCTCAACACAGGCGCAGACAGGTGCAGCTGGAGGGCAGGTGCTGATACCTCGGGTGCGTTTCCTCACCTCTGCAGCACCAGTGGCTCGTCCTGAGCTGCCTGCACCACGGAGCCGCCGACACTGTTTGGTGTTGCATTCCTTGTTGGTTTTGAAAACAAACAAACGTGCATTGACGAACAGCCATCTGAAAATGCAGCTCAGGCATACTGACTTTTTCACACGTAGGCATCAGAGAGTAGCTGAGAAATCCAAGATTGCACCAATAATGGATGCGTGCCAGCCACGCCGTAACGCACGTTTGAAGGCTTCTCGTCTCGAGTGTCGATCGCAGACTTCAGCGTGAGGAGAGCGCGCGCTTGGTGCTGTGGATGCGTCGAGGGCGAGGCCGGACAGGAGTGCTTGGTCCTGCAGGCTGTCTCTCCGCCTGAGCCCCTCCCCCCACGCCCTCGAGTCTCCAGGCGCCCAGCAGAGCCTGTGCAGCTCTCAGTGCACGGCGGGCGGGAGTGATGGGAAAGTGGAGAGGCTGCGGCCCCGTGCAGGCCTCTTGCTTTCTGACGAGGGAGTTAGCCTAGGAGGTTTCCAGACGTGGGCTCTCACCACAGTGTCTAACCCGCTCTTCTAAAAGCCGCTGTTACAGGCTCCTGGGCTAGGATGTCAAGAGAATTCTCTCTCGAGGTCGCTTCTAAAATGGGTGAGTTTGACAGTGCCGCTGATCTGTCCTCTCTCTACTGGGTGGGGAGACGCCGCTACTCCATGAAACTGGGTATTGGGTCCCACAGGTGCTTCTTTGTGCCCACACCACAGTGCGTTCCCCAAATAATAGTCACTCATTATTTAATGTGCTAAGTGAAGCAACAGTAATTACAGGTTCTGAGAAGATGGGCCTCTGTGGACTGAAGCCTTCTCAGTTTGGGCTTGCTTCCATGGAAGTGCTTTAATTATTAGTATTTTTTCTTTCCTTCTCTCTCTCTCTCTTTCTCCCTCCCTCTCTCCCTCTCTCTCTCCCTCTCTCTCCCTCCCTCTCTCCCTCTCTCTCCCTCTTCCTCCCTCCCTCCCTTCCTCTCTCCCTCCCTCCCTCTTTCCCTCTCTCCCTCTCTCTTTCTTTCTCTCCCCTCCCCTCCCCTCTCCTCCTTTCTCTTTCTTTTTCCCTTCCCTTCTCTTTCCTTTACCATCCCGTCCCGTCCCATCCTGTCCTATGCCATTACAGAGAGAGAAGGAAAGACAGAGATTTTCCATCCATTGGTTCACTCTCCAAATGGCTGTAATGGCCAGGGCTGTGCCAGGCCGGAGCCAGGAGCTCTATCTGGGTCTTCCACATAGGTGCAAGGGCCCAGGACTTGGGCCACCTTCCATTGCTTTCCTGGGCACATTAGCAAGGAGCTGGATCGGGAGTGGGGCAGCCAGGACACGAGTGGCGCCCCTGTGGGATGCTGATGTCCCAGGTGGCGGCTTTGCCCACTGCACCACAAAGCTGGCCCCTTAGTTGTGTCTTCAGTGGCCCAGAGTTCACAAGAAGCCAAGAAAGCAATGCATGGATATTTGTACGGGACTGTATCAGTCCATGGTGCGTTTGTAGAGCAGTGCAGGGAGTGTTGGGAGTCTGTAAATACTTTCAGAGCTGCTGATTTTCCAGAAGCTGGAGGGTTTCCGACTTCAAGACACACCCAGCTGTGCGAGGCTTCAGGGCATTTGGGGGTGGAGGGGTTCGGCAGCTTCTCCCGGTTCTCAGGGCTGCAAGGATGGATTTCTCATGTTGTGTTCACACAGATATTGATTGCCGTCGTCTTGGGTACCTTCAGGAACGCTAAGCTATAAAATAAAATGAGGTTTCTACTGTTAGCATGTTCATAAGGGGAAATGGCTTAAAAGCCTGTATTTTACCCAGATTTTCACTCATTACAGTTTTATAAGCTTCGAAGGATCTCGGTTGCATTGAAAAGTTATAAACACCCTTCCCATTCCCTGAGCCATGTGGGATATAAGATTAAATAACCCGGAAGGCATGTGGCTGTGTCTGCAAGACTGTCGATGCATCGCAGAAGAGGATGCCTTAGAACTGGACCAGTGATGAGTTCCTCCTGGAGCTGACCGTCGGCGTGTGTAGGTCCGATGCCAGTCAGTGGACTCAGTGGGGAGAGCAGGGCGCGCCCCTGGCCTGGCCCCAGAATGTGAGCAGCTTTGCCCTGGCCCACACTTGTGATGCTGTCTTGTAGCTATGGTCCAGATTGGTGATGGGGACAGCACAGAGAAGCCCGGAAAGACTCTGATGAGCCTCTTGGTTTGTTGTGTCTTTGGTGTTGCGGTACTTGTTTTCCTTTCTGCTGAGGACAGTGCAACCTCCCCAGGCTCTCTCCCACAGTCTCGCCCACAATAGGGTGAGAGACAGAGGGAGAGAGAGGGGCATGTGGCGCAGTGGTTGGGGTGCCCTTTGGGATGCCCACGTCCCGTACTGCAGTGCCCAGTTTCAAGTTGTGGCTTCTCTCCCGACTCCAGCTTCCTGGTCATGCAGACACAGGGGGCAAGGGGACGGCTCAGGTACTTGGGTCCTTGCCACCCATGGAGGAAACCCAGACTGAGTTCCTGACTCCCGGCTTCTGCCCATTCCAGCCTTGGTCGTTTCAGGCATTTGGGAGGTGAGCCAATGGGTAGAAGCATTTTCTATCCTCCCTGTCTTCTGCCTTTCAAATAAAATAGAT